CAGGAAGTGCGCCGTGGGCTCGATGTCACTGAACTGCAGAGTCCGATCTGCCCAGTGGGCGCACTGGCACGCCAACGAGGATCTGCGGCTGGAGACTGGCAAGATGCTCGGCCGCTTGAAGGGGACTGACACCGCGTAGCGGTGGTAGCTTGTAGACTGCAAGCATTGGGGCATCGGGGCGCGCGGCAGGGCGCCTGAGAGTAGGCGGGGCCGCGCGCGCAACCAGAGTGCAATTGCGCAGCGCAGAAACCTCTGGGCTCACGAAGCATCGGCCGCGCGCTTCCCTTGCCTCGGAACTCAGGAAACGTTGCCAGGTGAGTTGTTCGATTTCGTTATTTCGAAGCACAGAAACCACGGGGCTCAGGGAACTTCGGCCACGCGCCTCCATTGTCTCGGAGATCAGGATTCGTCGCCAGGCGAGCTGCTTGATGTCCTCCAGCCTGGGAGGCTCACAAAGCCTAGCTGTCTTTTGTCTCGGGCTGAATGAAGTAGCTGTTGGATGCGATATCGATGTCCGTAGCCGTTCTTCTGGTTCACTGGGCGAACCGCTTCCGCCGCCCCCACTCCCCCCCGCGCCCGCCTTCCAGCGCAGCGATGGCCGAGGCGGTTGCCAAGGGGAGAGCATTGGATGCGACGGTCGACGTGGTAAGGGCCCAGCACAAGAAGGGCCATGCCATCCCCGACCACGGCGAGGAGCCGCCTGCTGGCATCAGGCCTGACCAGTTGCCCCTGTGCGATTTCACAGAAGGCGAAGCGCCAGTAAGGCACGTCGTGGACACCATCTCCGAGCACGTCGGCGAAGTCCCAACAGACGGCATTCGCAAGTGCCTGGGCAGACAGAACCCTGCCTACGGCGAGCTCCCAGAACCTTTCCGCTTGAAGGACACGGGCGGCGTCTCGTACCACACGTCTATATTCGCCATTCCCCTCGAGGGCGGCAAGTTCGCGGCGGTCAAAGTGATCGAGATGGTGGAAAAGCAGAAGAAGGGCTTCTTGAAGGGCTTGTGCGTCGGAACGCCCCAAATGATCAGTTGGGGCGGGATTGGCGGGTCTAACGCCCATCGCAACCTCAAGGCCTTCCAATGCATGATCGAGGGGCTGGGCGGCGCCCAAGCCCGCGCGTTCGGGTTGGCCCCCTCCTCAAAGGAGGAGGGCGAACTCGACGAAGACGCCATCGAAGCAGGCTTCGATTACATCTCCGACGAGGGCCCGCGGCACACGGAGAAGCTTATCCAGCTGAAGTGGATCGCCAAGAGGACCCACAAGCAGGCGAACTGCCCGATCGCTGGGTGGCGCGACGGGCTGGTGAAGGAGGCGTTGCGCCAGCTCGCGCAGGCCGACGCCTTTGCGACCGCGCAGACTTTCTTCGGCATGACAATGGCGGGCTACGAGATGCACATTGTAGATTTGGGGGCGCGCCTGATGGCGTCGAGGAAGCTGAAGGGTAATTGGTTCCTAGGCAAAGCTTGGATCGGAAAGTCCCAATACATCAAGTCTCTCATGATGTGCTTCAGCCGCCAGGCGCGCATCGACGCGATGGGGCGCACCGAGGAAGCACTGAACGGATCGCACCGCGTGTGCTCTGAGATGGATTTCTTCAGGGGTCGCCCTGGGCTGGCTGGCGCGCCCGACATCTTCGACGACGGCGACTATTCCACCCAGCGCCCCAGAGTTCTCACGGTTTTCGATGACATTGCGTCAGAGGAGGCGGTGGCCATGGCGCGGTGGACTGGTTGTCGGTGGGCCAAGGGTCAGCCCAGAGCGTTGTTGGACAACAAGTACGACCAGCGCGCAGAGCCTGCCCCGCAAGGGGCCGCCGACTCCAAGAACGGCGCCGAGACCATCACGCATGAGCAGCTCATGTCGTTGATCCGCCCAGCCTGGCCAATCGACATGCTGTATCCAGACCAGGTGGCCGTTCCCAAGCGCAACAACTTCGTCGTGCAGACCTGGCCTCTGGCTCTACATTCGGTTTGCGACAGGATGAGGTGCCTGTTCACAGGTTCCCAGTGCCCGAGAAGCGGGCGTGGATCCGCAAGGCGAGCGAACCCAAGTACGGCGCCGTCCTCGAGGGGACGGCGGGCGTGCCTGGCGGGCACAAGGCGGCATTGGAGTGGGAGCGCCGTTGGGCGGGCCACGTGCTGCGGGGCGGCCCAGCGCCTGGCCCGCAGCCCATTGACCCGATGTGGACTAGGAGCGACGTACCGCTTGACGTCGACCAGGCCGCATAAGCTTTCAACGACAAGCAGCGCGTGACCGAGTTCCTCCGCGATGTGCCCGCGGCCCCGATGCCAATCCCAGCCGCGCCAGGAGGCGGCGCGCGCGGGTCGCAGATGCCAGCCCCAGGCGCGCCAGAAGGGGAGCGCCCAGCCAAGCGGGCGAGGCCTGGCGCGCAGGAGCACCGCGAGGCGTCGCCCGAACCTTTCGCGGATGGCTTCAGGTGCGACCGCCGCGGGGTTGACAGCGACGACTACGAGGACGATGAGGATGATGATCCGCCGCGCGGGACCCTCTCGCAGGAGCTCGAGCGGCTGTGGGGTCTCCACCAGGCGGGCGCCATCACGCTCGTGGAGTTCAACTCCTTGAAGAAGAGCGCGATCGGGGAGCTCGCGCCCGCCAAGAAGGGGAAGGGCAATGCCAAGCAGGAGCGGGCGCGCCGCGCGCCGATCAAGTAGGACCCCGCGGGCGCGACCATCAAGCGGGAGCCCGCGGGCGCGCCCGCGTCCGCGGGCGGCGTCGCTGCTTCGCCCGTGAACAAGGAGACGATGAAGGCGATCTTCCCAGGCACGGGTTGCGGGGGGAAAGAGGTCTGGCGTCGTTCGCGGGGCGTCGAAGGATTCTTCCGTTTGTTAACCAGCGGGTTTTTGAATGACGGCTCGTAAAGTCGAGGGCATGGTTGTTCCTCTGCTCGCGGCTGTCGGGCGGTTCGTCTGCCCCCCCCCACCCCCACACACCGCGCACACCCCCCCATCCCCTCCCTCGTCGACAGCCGTACTTCTAAGCCCTCAACAGGCGTCGTGGCGATCGACTCGGATTCGGACTGAGGCGGCCGCCGCCGCCGTGGGCCAGGCGCTGCGCAGGAGTCTAACAGCTAGCAGCGGGTGCTAGGCGAATTTGCTCGGGGAGGCATGCAACCATTTGGGGTGCATCCAGATCGCTGCGGGGGTAGACAAAGGGCACGCGTCTGACTTCGCATGGCTGTTGCGCACGTTGCAATGATGAGCATAGCATGCGCGGGGCACCCTTGCGTCCTTGCCTCTGCGGCTCGCCGTTAGCCAGCCATAACATCGGAAGCCGCTAAGCGGGCGTCCATGGGAATTGCGTCATTGCCGCGCTGTTAACACCACCAACACGCGGCTTGCTGTTGCGTGCGCTTGCACAGCAGCCACGCGCACGCAGAAACCCTGAATGGTCGCCTAACGCTGCTATTTTCTAAGATTCCTAAGGCAACCGAAGGAAGGTGGCCACCAAACACTGCTATCTATTTCTAAGATTTCCGCAACCATCCCAAGGCCCTGCGGAGCAGCCGCGCGCACACAGCAACCCAGAATGGTCGCCAAACACTGCTATTTTCTAAGGTTCCGAAGGCAACCGAAGGAAGGTGGCCACCAAACACTGCTATGTTCTAAGATTTCTCAGATTTCTAAGATTTTCGCAACCTTTCAGGCCAGCCTGGGGATGGCTGCGGAAATCTTAGAAATCTTAGAAATCTTAGGAAATAGCAGTGTTTGGTGGCCACCTTCCTTCGGTCGCCTTAGGAATCTTAGAAAATAGCAGCGTTTGGTGGCCATTCAGGGTTGCTGTGTGCGCGTGGCTGCTCTGCAAGGCCTTGGGATGGTTGCGGAAATCTTGAAATCTTAGAAATCTTAAAATAGCAGTGTTTGGTGGCCACCTTCCTTCGGTTGCCTTAGGAATCTTAGAAAATAGCAGCGTTTGGTGGGCATTACTTGCCACCAACACAAACAACGCAAAGCTTCCTTAGAGGAATTTAATCTTCAGGCCCCATCAAAATGTAGATCTTGGGGGGGTGGGGGACCATATATATATATATATATATATATATATATATATATATATATATATATATATATAATATTATACATCTCTACATATATATAGATAACGTAGCACCCCGTAAATACAGATAAGAGTGAGAGGGCGGCGGGGACGTCGTCAGTCTGCGAGGCTCTGAAGAAGCCCGCCGCAGGCGCCTAATTTTTACAACTTATGTTTTCAGCCCGCTGCCCGCGCCGTTTTTTTTTTTTGTCTTGTGGGTCGCGGGCAGGGTCACAGGCTGGGTCGCGGGCTGGGTCGCGGGCTGGGTCGCGGGCTGGGTCGCGGGCTGGTCGCGGGTGTTGCGGGGTGGGTCGCGGGTGGGTCGCGGGGTGTGTCGGAGATTGGGTCGCGGTGGGTCGCGGGCGGGTCACGGGGTGGGTCGCGGGTGGGTCGCGGGCGGGTCGTGGGTGGGTCGCGGGTAGGTCGCGGGTGTGTCGCGAGGTGGGTCGCGGGTGGGTCGCGGGGCGTGTCGGAGATTGGGTCGCGGGTGGGTCGCGGGCGGGTCACGGGGTGGGTCGCGGGTGGGTCGCGGGTGGGTCGCGGGTTGAGTCTCGGGCTGGGTCGCGGGGTGTGCCGCGGGGCTGGTCGCGGGTGGGTCGCGGGGTGGGTCGCAGGGGGTACGACGAAAACAAACGACAACAACAACAACAACAACAACAACAACGCACATAGCATAATCCTCACCACGGATCTCAATTTCGAGGCACGCACCCAGGGACGATTAATGACCGTTCGGCCCCCTCACTGTGATAGACACGCATATATATATGTATATATACACATGTATATGCATATATGTATATGTGTTTATATTTGTAGGTGCGCGAGAAAGTGAATGTGCGTATGCATGTGTGCATATAGATATGTATATGTATATGTATATGTGTATGTGTATGCATGCATCCATATGTCTGTACACTCCATCTCGCGGAAGTCCGCCGCAG